CAAATTCATCTTCGTTGGCTTCGTCCAAAATCGCATCGTCTGGAAGATCTTCATATATCGGATTATGCGGATCAACAAGTAAGATATCATCAATACGTTGCTCAGGTACTTCTACTTCATTTACAACATCTTCTTGTAAAGGCGGTTGTTCATCGTTCAATACTCGGCCCCGAGGTATAACTTTTATAGCGGCTAACCAGGAACTTCCAGATTGTCTGATCCTTGGGTAAGGTATAAAACATACTTGGTCTGCCTGAGAAGCCAATATGTATGGCTCAAATTTGTTGTACCTCCGTGTGACATTTACGTCAACAACACCAAACTTACTATACCGAACACCTCTATTGACAGTGGGGTCAAACCATTCACATTTGAAGAGTACACATTTGAGCTTCATGCCGGGAAACTCCACTTCGATGATCTCTTGTATGATTCCGTAAAAATCTGTTTCGCCTTTCACACATACTCCATAGTTCATTGTTGCTCTCCGGTTTCCATATTCGTAAGTGTGAAAAGTGTATCCACGTGTGAAATACATAGATGATGTGGTGACCTTCACGACCGGACCTTCTATCAATTCGTGTAACCACTGAGGATAAAATGGATCATCATAATCGACCTGCAGTATATATATATCGATGGATTTGAAACATATCCATCTGAAATTAAATATATGTATATATATAGATATATATTTTCATAAATATATATATATATATATATATATATATTCCTGCGTTTTTAACCACTTCACAAAGTGTTGATCTTTCCTTTTGTTGATATCATTGGTTGATATCCCTGGTATAGCATCTTCGACTTGGGCAACGAAATCACTGTTTTAAAATAAATTCATGATATTAGATATTGTAGTATATGTGTGGTAATTAAAACATCACAGCATATAAAGAATACTACTTACTTTTCAAAATACTCAAGCTCCTCGCAGTTAAGGAGGATATATGTGTGCGCACTGTGGGAGTCTTCAGAACTCGACCACCAAACTTCTCTCAACCTTCCACCTAGACGTCCAACCGGACAGAATATGTCTGGAACCTCTTCAACAATATATGTCGGCACAACACCACCATCATCATACCTGCTCGTTGTTCTTTTCCGAGTCCGCGCTTGTGATCCAAAGTAGTATGAAGTGAAATGAGATGTTTCCGCATTCAAACTTCCAACAACTATTGAACCTTCCACTCTTACATGACTTTTTGCTTTCCCTTTTAGATGTTTCATGGCTCGCTCGTAAGGATACATCCATCCATTATGAACAGGTCCACAAAGCAGTGCCTCATACGGAAGGTGGATAACAAGATGTTCCATGACGTCAAAAAAATTCGGAGGAAATATTTTTTCCAAATTGCACATCAAGATCGGGATATTCTCATCAAGTTGTTTGATTACATCTACAGTTAAGGTCGTGCGCTAAAATCTCTGAAAAAAGCTCCAATGCCTACAAATAATTATTTATGTACAAGCCAACATAAGAAACTTTCTAATGTACAAGGCCAAAAAGAAATAATTAATAACTTTAATAGTATTTGTTATCTGCAAGTGCTTCGTGAACATCTTTTAGAAATAACTCTGCAAATGCAAATGGTAAAAGTCGTTGCATAAACACATGACAGTCATGACCCTTCATCCCTGCAAACTTTTGTCCTTGCTGATCCACACATTTTGATAGATTTGAAACATATCCATCTGAAAACTTCACATCAGATGCCACCCACTTGAACAACGCCGCTTTTGCTGGTGCTGACAATCTGAAAATGGGAACCGGAATTTTCCCATCGTTTTGAATATGCAGCTCAACCCTAGAACATAATCCAGACAAATCCAACCTTGAGTTCTTGTTATCTTTTGTCTTCCCAGGGACGTTCAACAAAGTATTGATGATGTTGTCAAAGAAATTCTTCTCTATATGCATCACATCAAGATTGTGTCGCAGGAGTAGATCTTTCCAATATGGAAGTTCCCAAAATATACTCTTTTTGTGCCAATTATGTTGTGTCCCATAACCGTCAGACATCTATCATCTTTGAAGGCAAGCCAAGACTATGAACAAGTTTCTGAATCTCATAATAAGATTCAGCAGACAAATTATCTTCATGCAAATACTCTTTAAACAACTCAGCCCATGCATCCATACAAACTTCAGGTAAGTTATGATCAGTTTTGATATTCATCATCCTAGCAGCCAATGATAATTTAGAAAGACCTTCTCTACAACCTTCATAAATTGGCTCATTAGCTGCTGCTAGCATTTCGTAAAATCTTTTTGCATCCAAGTTAGGCCCCTCTACATTTTCTACCTCCTCTATAATAGATGTTGTTTCACGAAATGCATCTGTAACCATATCATGCATCCTATCATGATCTACCATATAATGATCCTCTTGAAGGTAACTTTCAGAAAGCAAATGTGGTTCCTCTCTGTCATGAACTATTTCAACCTGATTACTACTACTAGCTTCATTCCTATTATCACCTTCTCTGTGGTTATACCAGATATAGTAATGTGGAGTAAATCCTCTATTTACTATATGTTTCCAAACCGTTTCACTAGAAACAAACTTCGTATTGTTGCATTTACGACAAGGACAGAACATTTTACCCGTTTCATGTGTGAGAGACGTTTGTTCGGCCTGGTTCATGAACATCTCTGCTCCGTTGAGAAATTCATCAGTTACTATTCCTCTTGAATCTTTATGTGCATACATCCAACTCCGGATCTCATAAATATTTCTAGACATTTTTTAAAAAAGTTTTGTGTTTATTTTTCGTTTTAAGAATGAGGAAGAAGATCATATTTATAAAGAAATTTTGATTTTGGTAGGTAGTTAACTTAGTAGTTAAATAGATGCAAAATGGATGCAAAACAGTTAGTCGTAATCTGGTAGCACTTTTACGACCAATTTACAACCAAATAGTAGTTAATTGGTGGTAAAAGATATTAGATGTATATTAGTCGTAAAATTACAACCAATGAGTGACAAATGACATTTACGACCAATTAGGGACTACATTTGTAATATTTTTTAAAAAAAGAGAGAAGAAAGACACTGGAATCACAAGTCCATAGATTCTAAGTGAAACCAACGTTTCAATGTTGGACGCATTAATCTTTTCGGAGTTGTGATCCCAGTAGCTTTTTTCTCTCTTTTCTTAGATTTTTAAAATCTTCGACTCAATTATCAACTTTCTTTTTTTAATATATTTCAAAATATTAGTTTAGATTTTCGAGATAACAATGGATGCTTTTGAAATATTTGAAAAAGAAGAGAAGAAAGATACTCGAATCACAATTCCGTGGATTCTATGCGAAACCAACGTTTCAACGTACGTCTCGCATTGATGTCTTCGGAGTTTTGATCCGAGTACCTTTCTTTCCTCTTTTTCAAATCTTTCAACTCTATATCTAAAATATTTTAAAATATTTGTTTGTCTTTAGGAGAAAACGATGGCTCTTTAATAGGGGACATTAGGACTACCTAGCTTCGAATTTTTACGACTAATTAGCATCTTGGTCCATCATTTAGTCGTAATCTAGTCGTACATTACGACCAATTAGCATCAACCTACCATTAACGCCTTGACCGAAATCCTAAACACGAGTGATCGTACACTAGTCGTAATTTAATGACTACAGTACATTTACACGGACACGTGGTCGTACATTGGTCGTTATGTTACGACTAGTGTACGTCTAGTGAAATTGGTAGCAAGTTAACCTCTGTTTTACGACTAATGCTTTTTTAGACGTAATGTAGTCGTAAATGAGATGGTTAATTACGACTACACATATGTAGTCGTAATATCTAGTCGCTATAACAACGTTTTCTTGTAGTGTCAAAATCATTAATTTTTGTATATATGTTAATAATATTATGTAATTCCGTAGTTTTTATTAAAGGAAAGAATTGAGAATAAGTTTTTTAGGTCCTACTAATCGATTTGATACTTAATTTAATAGAAATTATAATCTCTATTTAGATAAACCAACCTATATTAATTATAAAGATTCTGAAAAGCATCCTATTAATGATATGTGACTACACTTAAAGGTTGTAATGTTTCAGGGTTAATATATGGGGGCCCTTAATATATAGAGGATTTACATATAAATGTCATTGGTCTTACCTATTACACATATCATCATCTATATATTAACTGAAGAGTTATACATTTAAAAACTGACCAAACACTTAGAAACAATTAACATTGCTTTAAAGAAATACTCATGTCCGAAATACCTTTGAAAATTTAGTCTTTCACAATTCACGGCAATGTGTTTACAAACAAACTCAAGAAAAATAAATAATTTGATACATGAGATCACTATATATAAGAGACTTATCATTCACCAAATACAAACTCAACTAAAGTACAATAGAACCTCTATAAATTAATACTCGGTAAATTAATAATCTTTATAAATTAATAAATCTCGTCGGTTCCAATTTGAACCGGTTCAAAATTTGACACAGATTGATAAAATAATAAAATAATATTTATTCAGAAAACTCTATATAAATATATGGTCCATTAAAATTATAAATTAATAATATATACATATTTATAAAGAGAAATTGCACTCTATGCATTCAGTTTATCAGCAAATTAGGAATATACCATAAATTACTTTTTGCTACTGTACAAAAAATTAGAAAGACACGATTACCCATATAACACTACTAGAAATCAACGTCTGGCCTATTTCACATATTTCTATCTTCTTTTTTTTTTGGGAAATTTGCCAAAAAAGAACAAAAAAACACAACTATTGTCCTCTTAGAATAAAAATCTAAATTATTGTCCCTATAGTATAAACATTAATGAAAATCCAATTTAGTCCTTACTAATTAATTAGAAATATAATTACAAATTGTTTAAAATAAAATATATTAAACTAACAATTTCTTGTTTATTAGGTTAAATTAAACGAAAGGAGAAGAAATAAAAAGAAGAACGCCGCATGATTTAAACGCAAAGAGAGAATGATTTTACCAAAGCAGTATCGTTGCACACACTCTCCTACCTGCCAATGCACAAGAGGCCATCTAAACAAAGACGTGCTGTTATTAGTCTTCAAGCATTTAAACTGGAACCCTAAACTAGTCGCAACACTCTCCTGCGTCTGCAAATGGTTTGATGATTTCGCCAAACGTGTACTCTGGAAAGAGTTCTGCAAGACACGTGCGCCAAGAATGATGCTTGATCTACAATCTAGCGGTAGTCACTGCATAGACGGTAACTGGAGAGCTCTAGGGAAGCTTCTCATTTACTGCACAGGATGCACAGAAGGCGGTCTTTTCAACAGCACGGTTCAAATCCCTGGCCACTTTGTTTACAGAACAAGATTCTCGAGGACGTTAGGGAGAAGCCTCCTTCCACCTCAGTGTAGAACCGATGTGCTCTACGTTAGTGATCCATGTGAGCATCTTGATCAAGGAGAAGAAGGTGATGTGGGTCTGTTCCGAGGGATTTTCAAGTCGTTCCCAACGTCTAAAGTCAGGAAAGTTATTATTAACAAGGCGGTTCCGTTTCATCCATCTGAGGTTTGTCCGTATTGTAAAGCTAAAATGTGGAGCATGCTCCAAGCTAAGATCATGCCTCAGAGTGCATGCGCTCGTTTGGAAGCTTATGAGGATTGCATTGAGTATTTTGTTTGTCTTAATGGTCATTTGCTTGGGATATGTACTCTGGCGCCTTTGTCTGATTCAGAGGAGGCGGTTCCAAGTGAAGATAGCAATCACACAGAGAAGAAACAAGGTTTATATAATCTTACACAATCTAGTTTTACTTTGTATACAACAAGATATGTTTCTGTCACCTGACAACAGTTAAACTTTGTTTTTCTTTCAGACAATTGCTTGGCTAAAGAAAATGGATTGAAAAGGAGACATTCTTTGTTGGGTGGAAGTGAGAATGGACCATCGCCTCAAAAACGACTGACTAGTTCAAATCAGTGTAACATTGATTGATGTGTGAAACGTCTGTAAATCTGTTGTTGTTTTGTGTCATTGTACTAATTTCCATTGCATCTTCAGAGATTCATTCATTTTATACTCAAGATATGATCAACCGTTTCCATAATCTCTGGTTATGATTTTATATAACTCGCATTGAGATAAATGTTATCATTGTGTTCTGTCACAAGCAGCTTAAAGGTAGTTATTGATCCAAGAAGACTTTTTTTTAGAGAAGGTAGTTATTGATCCATTCAGACTTTGTTTTGATCCATTATTTTCGGGGGATAATGGAAATTTTTTTTTGCTTTGCTCTTGTTGTTGAGACATGTTTGATTGTTATCTTGTTGTTCAGAAACCGTGTGAGCATTCTGTCAATATAAATTGCATCAATATAAGAACCATAAAATCACTCGTATGAGTTCACCACGACAATTCCACAAAGATGCTAATTGCTTCCTTTGAGTACTTTGCGTACTAAATTCTACAAAGATGTTAACTTCAAGGATTAGTGTTATAAACAGCAAAAAAGGACGAAAAATAGGAAAACATGTGCAGTGCAAATACTCGAACTCGGGTTACTAATAGAGGTTTTAGACATATAAACCACTGAACCAAGTTATCATATTGTCATATAATAAAAAAGGTAGTATATAATAGGTTATATATACCAAATATGAAACTTAAACATGTTCATGGCAAAAAATATTAAAAAAGGAAACAAAAATATTTAGAGAATATTTACTAACCATTATTCTTTAGATTTTCTTAGATTTTCGGATGGTGGCTCATAAACCGTTGGTAGAAGATACATTCTACCAAATTTTCCATTAGTTTAACCAGTGGAAACGTAATCACACGAGCGTAGACAAAACATTAAAACTAAGAAGATATGTTCTGTCAAGGTAGACGGATGGGTCTTTAGTATATGCTATGTTCTACTGAAACTGCATAACAAAGAAGGAATGTCAGTTATCATATTCTTCATTCGTAGATGTATATGTTTTTGGTGTATTAC